TGAGGATGCGGCCGGCACACTGGGCTCCATGCTGGACACTCCGGTCTCAGCCCTTTCCTGGAGGCCCCTCCCCACCTGCTCCTGCCACAGGCACTAGAGGCAGCTAGAACTTTGCTTTAAGGAAACTGCCGATCACTCTCCAGTCTCCCCATGAGCTCTACCCCTCGCGGCCCATAAGCTCTACCCCTGCGCCTTTGCTCCTGTCCATCCCTAGGGAGAGGAGGGGTGATGTGCTGCCCCTGACACTGAGCTGCCCCAGAGACCCCAGCGCCCTCTGCTGCTCAGAGCCCAGACCCTGCTCAGAGCCAGAAACGGCCCCGGCCTCAGGACCGCCTCTCACCACACTGGCTGGGAGCCACCCCCAATTTGTTTGGTGTTTCGTGTCCATACTCGCAGTTCTGTCCTCGGACTGATGCTTCTGAACTCTGAGGTGGGACCGGCCCACCAGAGACTGGTGACCTGGGAGAGGAAGGGAGGGGACAGGGAGAAGTGTTAGCACTTGGGGAACACCTCCCCCGACACTCCCTTCGCCAGACTGTGAGCCTCAAGCCTTCCCGCTCGCCCTGCTTCGCACAGTCCCCTCTCCTCTATGGCACATCAGAGAGTGTGAGCGTTTCTCTGGTCACGGGGAGAGTGTTTCCTGGGAGAGGTAGGTCTGAGGGGACGAGAGGCCAGGTCTTTAAGACGATGAGACGTGCTTTCTCAGCCGATGAGTCTCCAGGGCCCGAGATTCACCCCAGGAACGGCGGCCCTGTCTTTAGTGAGACTCCACCGGCAAGAGAGAAAGTGTACAGCACCTTACCCTCCCGCTCACCACCTGAGAATAAACGTTAGGGTTGTTACTCCAGCAAATTCGTTCTTTCCTTTTGTTCCTGCAGAGCCACAGGGGAACCCAAGAGCTTTGGGAACCCAAAGTCCTTTGCCCTTGTTTGGTTCGATTTCCCTGTATTACGAAGGCAGCCCATAGCTCTGGTGGTGGTGGCAACACCTACAGGCAGACTCCTCTCCTCGTGGATGTGCCCAACCCAGAGGAGTGCCGGACTCACTGACCACCTGACTCATGCCATATACAGCTCAGAGGCCAAATGGCCATACTGGTCACTGGAGGGGTCATTCAAGGCCTTTTAGCAACATTCTGCAAGGAAGTTCCCTTCTTTGGGGGTTCAGGGAAGGAGGCCCTCTTCAAAGAACCTATGGCACCAAAAACCATCACACTCTAAGGCTCACTGTTCCAAGAGTGGCCTTGCTTGGGTGGGAAGCTTGCTGTAGTGATGGCAGAGGGGATGGGATAGGTAAACAAGGGCAAGTTAGAGGGCTAGTTTAGAGGGCAGGATTCAAATGGGACTTTCGAGAAGCCAGAGTGTCCCTAAGGTTGGCATTCCTGTTAAGTTTCAGACCCTCCTTCTCCAGCTTCCTCCACAGTCCTTACCCATCACTGGAACCTTTGCCACAAAAGTCTGCATTTCTTTCCATACATGGATTCCTTGGATGGCCCCCCACACAGGTTCTGCACACTGCCTCTTAGCACCTCCACCCAGAGGGCGTTCGGCTTCCACCAGGTTTCCTATTGCTTCACAAGGCCCCAGGGCCCCAGATATCTTCCTTTGCAGCCCCCAAGCCCGTAGGAGTAGAAACATGGGACGTCTCAGTGCACATCCCAGCCCCACAGCTTGCTCCTAGGACCATTCTGGCCCCTCGTCTAGGTTCATCTTTCCATGTATGTGTTGCCTTTGTCAGAAGGAAACGCTATTCCAAGACCAGATGCAAAATGCTTGGGCACGCTAGCATGAGAAAGAGGGTGCCCCACGAGGACTCGACCATTAATTTATCTTGCTCTCCCCACCTTGGAAGCGGGCAGGAAGTCTCCCTCCTAATCCCAACCACAGCCTCCCCGCCCCTTGGCCCCCCCCACACACACAGCTTTCATAGTAGGGTGAAGGCGCCCATTCTTTCCTGAAACCCAAGGCTATGACTCAGAATATCCAGAAGCATAGGGAAGAGCTCTGTTCTCCTGTCGAACAGACCGGGCTCGTCTCTGTCTTGAGCTTCAGGCACTCCCAGAGTAAGAATGTGACTGTCATAGAAGGGAGAGGAGTCCTGACTGGGGCCGAGCAGCCACCCAACACCCAGCCACCCAGTGCCCAATGCCCTGAGCTCCCTCCAACACACAACCACAGCAAAGGCTGCCTGAGGGACGGGAGGTCACAGGCAAGGCCTTGGCGGAAGAAAAGAACAGAAAGGGGGGAAATTGGTAGCATCCGGGCTTCTGGGATGCTGAGGCATCAGGAAGGAGCCTGGACTGCGCCGTGTGCACCTCTCAGCTGTCTGCAGCCCCACGTACTTCTCACGTAGGAGCGAGGGCACAACACGGCTGCTAAAGGGGGGTGTTAAAAAAAAATTAAGGCACGGGAAGCCTTGAATTGCCCTGGAGGTGATTTCGAATGAACTGAAACGAGTCCACGCTTCTGATCTTATTTAATCCTCACAATTCTGCAGAGTCTTACCATTTTACAGGCATGGGCATGAGGCTTGGAGAAGCCGCAAGACTTGCCCAAGGTCACAGAGCTAATGGGTGGCCAACAGAAGGTTTAAACACACAGGATTTCCTCTGTAAACTGTTTCCACCCCACAGTCCCAACTCAAGGCCACTTTCATCCTAGAATCTGATGAAACGGCCTGTGGTAAAGGCCACCTGCTAGCACCCACTCTGTGGTAGGCTGAGCAGGGACAGGCCACAGCTCCACCAGGAAGGCGGGACTGGCAACCTCCACGTCAAGTCCCCAGATGACCTGGAAAGACCACAGTTCCCCGGGAAACAAAGCTATTCTGTGTATCAATCCCCCCTCCCCCACCAAGGCCAGTGTCCAGTTTTTCTGATAGTTTTAAAGTTCACTGTTGGCTCCGAGTCCCTGGACGGGAGCCCAGTTTCTAATTCTCAGGCTCGCTATCAGTCTGGAAGGGCCGGAGTTGTTTCCACCACCTCTTCGACTTTCCTGGGATAGGAAGTGCTGTCGCTGGAAGAGCTAGAAAACTGCACCACAGCCTGTCCTGGCCGAGCCTATAGAAACAAGTGCTACCGAGCAATAGGCCTTGAAGCGGCCTTTGGGCTTCCGGAGCGGGAAGGACCCGGGGAAACAAAAACAAACACGCTGCTGTCCTTGGGGGGTTTCTCAGAATGGGAGCTGCATTCTCCCTTCCCATCTGGGGAGGCGTGAGCACCGTGTATGGTTCTGCTATTAAGGAATCCGAATGGAAATTCCAAGGTACACTCCCCAAGTTCCGTGAGCTCTTCCCGGGTATTGTGTGTGGTTTATGAAGGCACCAGAAAAGAAGACGAAGGCAGTCCTGCAATTAGTTTCTTCTCTAGGAAGTCTCCCTATAAGAGAAGCTCTTTATTTAAATAAAAGTATAAGTATTTAAATAAAAACAATCTTCATTTGCATATAGATTTTTATTTACAATACCACTTGGTGTGCCTAGCTAAAGAAACATAACCATTTAGACATAAATCAACGGCATCTCAACTAAATCTTGAGTTTTAATTCCCTTTATAAAAAGTATTTTAGGAACCTCTTATCTAAGTTGTTTATGGATGTGGCCACATACCAGCCATTTGCAGCGAGAACATCAAAACTACCAGCAACCTTTGCTAAATCAATCGCTGATAAGAGACCTCTCAGCCTGACCTTTCCTTCTCACTTCCAGTAAGGCTCCAATCATCCTTTCCCTAACTCCCTATGTTTCAATCTTCTGAACTAGGTCATATGCTGGAAAAAAAATGAGGAAATGTCAAGCTACTCTTCTTTCTAAAAATAAGGACTTGTTTCCCCAGATGAATTCATTGTTGCTGTAAGAGAGGATGGTCGATTCTATTCTCTCCCTAACTGCTACTCTTCCTGGTCCCCTCTCCCCGCCCCTCTAATGGCTGGTCTCTGACATACACGGAAATCTTTCATTACCACGGAGCCTGCAGCTTTACTCCTGCCTTAGTCTTTAAAAGGCCTTTTGTGAACACACTCCATTTTCATTGACTGGTGCCCGATATCTGCCTGCCCCTCCATGTTCTCAGCTCTCCCCTCTGGAACAGTCCACTGAGCCTACCTTCAGGGCTGGGACAACCTCAGCTTGCCCTGGGCCACAAGCACTCCTGAAGCCCGCTGATCAGGGAGATCAGCAGTGCAAAGGCCATCTGTCTCCTTCCCCTGCTTCTTAACTTCATGGCCCTGGGAAATGTCCTGGAATGCCATGAGAATGCCCAAAGAATGCCCTTTATAGCGGTCTTCTTTGTGGTGAACCTAAAGATGAGGTAAGTGAAGTCTTAGGAAACAGGACTTGGGAGAACTGGGGTCTTAGTAAGTGAAGCCTCTGTGACATCTACTCCCAATGCTGCAAAAGGACCTGGATACAGGGAGTCTGCCTGTGAAGGTCACCCCAAAGACAAGTTCAGGTGGGCTAAGTTAAAGATACCACCGTTGCCTGCTAGAAAATACATTTGTGACACCATGAACACTGCACTTTGGAGAAATACTGAGGAAAGAAAGCAATAGATATAAAGTGATCTGGATAGGATTCTGGGCTTCTACAGAAGAGTGTTTAGATACTAAACCCCTTATTTGGCTTTTCATTTAAAGTTTCTCTAGCTCTCCTGCCACTCAGGCCTACACCAGTGGAACATAAACCTATAGAGAAAAAGAACAGGACTGGAGAGAGTCTCCCACCCAGGCTAATTTCCACTCTTGTGATTTTTTTTTTTTCCTCACGAGAGAAACACATTTTTAAGCAGGAGAAGATACTCTTTAAGTGTTAAAATTGGCGATGTGTGTAAATAGTGTTTTAGGAAACCTCAGAATAATAGATGGTTCTGGAATAGCTTAGTTCAGTAATTCCAACTTCAATCCCCAGTGTGATTTCAACATCAGAGCCTTCTCTCATTCCCTCCACCCAACTCCACCCTCCCAGGCTTGCAAGATTCCTGAGCGGAAGCTGCGTCTCTGTTGAGGGGTGGAAGTCCTTTAAAATGTTAGTTGTCCCTAGGAACCTGAAATCTGCATTCCAAAGCTCATTTTTCTCTAGGAACTTTTATCCAATCCTCTGTGCTAACCCTCATGGACAGGACTGTGGTGTCTCCCGCCTGATTCCAACTCTGTGCAATCCCTTTACATAAAGGAGCAGAGCCTTCAATACATTTGGTCTCCCCCCAAATCTGACATCTGAGACTCATTCTGACTCATTTCTTGGGGGAAGGATCCCCAAGACCTCTAACAAGAGAGGTAAACTGGTTGAGAAAGAACTGGAAAGGAAAACAGGCTATAACTACACACACACACACACACACACACACACACACCCTCCTTAAACTTTTAAGTTGGAAACATTTTCCTGGAACCATGTCTGGTACGGAACCATGGGAATGCTCAAAACTAACAAATAGCTTTCTGAAGCTATGATTAAGACATCGAAAAAGGTCAGAGGGTTTAGCCGTCTAACCAACTGAGATCGTATCCTCTCTTCGTTCGGGAACCTGCTGTGTATGCCGCATGCCATGGAAATAGATACTGTCTCCAAAAGCCCCGAAAGGCGTCTGCCTTCAACGTGAAAATCACTTCCAGAGGGCAGTTTGAGCTCACTCTGCATTGTTTGACTACACAAAGCCTGCATTTGAGTCATTTCGCCCTTCCTTTGATGGCGGGTGACTCAAAGGCAAAGACTTTGCTGTAACCAGTCATGTTACTCTGTACCTGAGCAAATATTTGACCCCACAGCTGTATCTCACCTGTTTCCTTCGCTTTCTGGTAATTTCCATTATGCAAGGCAACTCTCCAATCCAATACTTATATTGCACTTTACAGTCTACACAACGTACCCATTAGGTCCTTAGGACCTCACTGTGAGATGGGTAAGGCGATCAGTTTTACAGCTGGAGGCGCAGAGAGGCTGACTGGCTGGTTACGTGACAGTGGGGAAGTAGAACCCGCGATCCAACCGTCTGCAATAGATTGCGTGCACCCCACCTTTTCCTGCGATCCAACCGTCTGCAATACATTGCGTGCACCCCACCTTTTCCTGCCTCGCAGACAGAACTGCTCCTCGCTCCCACTTTTCACAGGCTAGTCAGTATGGGGGGGATGTACTTAGGTCCTTAGAAAGTGTAAATAAAAACCCGAAGTGTCCAAAATTAAGGCACACTATTTGATGTTAAGGCAAAGTATTTAAATGTGTTTGTGGGCTAGGTCAAGGCCTAACCTCCTCCTTGCCTGGCTCTGTGCCTGAGCTGGGAGACCCTTCTCCAGGTCTCTGTGGAGAGCAGGGCTTGTAGAGTCAACAGTGTAGGGGAGGGGGGCC